CGGCGACGAGGAGAGTGGAGCTAACCAGACTGCCTGCCACGCACAGGTGCACGTGGGGGCCGTGTGGTGGTGTGTAGGCATGAGCGGGGGCAAGCGAAAGTGGGGGCAATGGGAGAGTGGTGAGTGTGACATGTGGGCATCGGAATGGGCATGAGCATTGGCATTGGCATGGGCATGGGCATGGGCATGGGCATGGGCATGGGCATGGGCATGGGCATGGGCATTGGCATGGGCATGGGCATGGGCATGGGCATGGGCATGGGCATGGAAGAAGCAGAATCACTCAGGTGTATATTTCGAGACGCTGAGCGGAAGCACTCCCCGCACCTGGCTCATGCCTCATGTTCACTTCATTCAGGTTTGAAAACAGCCGCTCATATTCCTGTTTCCTCCCCTGCTGCCATCCCCCATCCCCGATCTCGCCCATCAGCCCCTCCCGCTCCCCCTCCTCCTCCTTTTCCGCGCCATCCCCTCTCCATCTCCACATCCCGCCCCCGACCCCCGTCTTCCCTCCCTCTTCCCTCCCGCTATCAGCGCCAGATGGGGCACTGGCGGAGGCTAGAGGGAGAGGGGAGACGAGGGGGGAGGGGGAAGGTGGCCGCGGATGATGTGACGAGCGGCGCACGTCTGGAGGTGAATGGAGATGGGAGGGTGGGCGGTTGTGGGGAGAGGAGGGGGAGGGGGAGGGAAAGTAAAAGGGGGGAGGGGGAGGGGGAAGGGGTGAAGTGGGCATGGGGGAAGGGAGGGGGAAGGGCAGGGATGGAAAGGTAAGGTACTGGGTAGGGCTGCAAGAGCGCACGCGAGAATGAGAGGAGAACAAGCAGGAACATGCATGGACGCAGTCCCAAAAAGACCAGCCTTCATGGCACTCCTTTCATGGACCCAAAAAGACCTCACAAACTTTGACGGGCTGCATCCATGCACCTCACCTCCCTCCCCATCCCGCGCGGATTCGCCGCTTCTTTCCGCCATCGCCAGCACCGTCTCGCTCCGCCCCGTTCGCCCTGTGCGCCTCTCCGCGGCGGTTCTCGCGCCCGGGCCCCCCCCCGCCCTTGCCCGCGCCGACTCCACCAGCGCCCAGCCATGCGCGCATGCCCCGCGAGGCCACGCGCTGCCATGCTGGATCGGACATTCGCACGGCTCGACAGGGCGGCAGGTGATGACGTGGTGGGGGACAAGCCGCTGAATGCGGTGTCAGGAATGGGGAGGGGTGAGAGGGGATGGAGAGGGACTAGGAGCGAGTTCGAGGAAAATAAAGGGAGAAATAAACGGGAGAAATAAACGGGAGAAATTTACGCATGTTTGCCTCAAGCACGTAAAAAAAAGCCTCAGATTACGTACGCGTTACAAGGCGTACGGATGGGGAGGACAACATCGCATCTCTGGGGAATCTGCCAAACGAGCTGAGAGACGGAAGCGGAAGTACAGAAACTATCACCCTAGCGGCAGCGACGCTCAGATGAGAATACGCGAAGCCGAACACTACGGTGATGAATATGTTACGATATGTGTCGTCAGCCTGAAAGGAATGCGAAGTCTCTCCTTGTTGAAAAACCAAGGCATTTCCGTCTTGACCAAGAAAATTCAAGCTCGAGATTGGTTGGGATGATGGGATGCGCCCGCACCTGATTTGGTTGGAGCCCAGGGGAATTTCTGGGGCTGGAACTTCGCAAAAGCGACGGTAGGCGAGCGATCTGCGATGTGGCTCGAGTGTTCGCCAAACACGTGGCCTCAGTGTGGCTGGTGAGCGAACGTCGGCACTGACACAACAGATCGCGAGCATTCGGCGACGGTTACTGTGTCTGTGGTGTCCTCACTCCCAACCGGACTCGCTTTTCCGTAAGAGCAATGCACAAATCCGCTACACTCTCAACTCCGATAAAACATTCTCAAGAAAAACCCACTATACAACATTTGGAGAGAGGGGGAGGGGCGGCAACAACAAGCTCTTTACCACCAACCCAGCTTCCCAGCTTCTACACCCGCCGTTGCTCTCCTCCTACCCGAACCCGCACATCCATCCTACTTCGCCTCGCGCGTCGCGTGCCTCCTGTCGCCTCCGCCATTCGGTGCGGAGATCCTGAGGCGTAGGCGCCTGGGAGATCCGCCTTTTCTACGACGTACGGCTCCCTCCCTCACAGTTCCGCGATGCACGGCACCTGGGAGGACCGCCGCTGCAGCGACGCATGGAGGCAGTGATTAAGAGATTAATAGTGCAGCGATGGGATTGATGGGAACGATGATGATGGGAATGACGGAGTGACTCACGAGCGAGTCAACGATGGGTGATGGCGGGTTGACGAGGAGCACCATGATCCGTTGAGACGGCTTCGCCGCGTGCTTTAGTCGTTGCGTTCCCGGACGTTCACGCTGGAAGTTTGTGTAGCTCGCAGGGGAATTCTGTAGTGCAGTGCAGCTGTGAGGCTCGGCGCGCAATTCCGAGCTTCCGAGGCTCGGCGTGTCAGTGCGTGCTCCCAGTGGTCCTGCGCCGCCTCCATGGCCGCTCGGCGCGCAGCAGCCTGGAAAAATCACGCTATCACACGCGCCGCCGCAGTAACGGCAGGCGCAGGACCACTGGGAGCACGCACTGACACGCCGAGCCTCGGAAGCTCGGAATTGCGCGCCGAGCCTCACAGCTGCACTGCACTACAGAATTCCCCTGCGAGCTACACAAACTTCCAGCGTGAACGTCCGGGAACGCAACGACTAAAGCACGCGGCGAAGCCGTCTCAACGGATCATGGTGCTCCTCGTCAACCCGCCATCACCCATCGTTGACTCGCTCGTGAGTCACTCCGTCATTCCCATCATCATCGTTCCCATCAATCCCATCGCTGCACTATTAATCTCTTAATCACTGCCTCCATGCGTCGCTGCAGCGGCGGTCCTCCCAGGTGCCGTGCATCGCGGAACTGTGAGGGAGGGAGCCGTACGTCGTAGAAAAGGCGGATCTCCCAGGCGCCTACGCCTCAGGATCTCCGCACCGAATGGCGGAGGCGACAGGAGGCACGCGACGCGCGAGGCGAAGTAGGATGGATGTGCGGGTTCGGGTAGGAGGAGAGCAACGGCGGGTGTAGAAGCTGGGAAGCTGGGTTGGTGGTAAAGAGCTTGTTGTTGCCGCCCCTCCCCCTCTCTCCAAATGTTGTATAGTGGGTTTTTCTTGAGAATGTTTTATCGGAGTTGAGAGTGTAGCGGATTTGTGCATTGCTCTTACGGAAAAGCGAGTCCGGTTGGGAGTGAGGACACCACAGACACAGTAACCGTCGCCGAATGCTCGCGATCTGTTGTGTCAGTGCCGACGTTCGCTCACCAGCCACACTGAGGCCACGTGTTTGGCGAACACTCGAGCCACATCGCAGATCGCTCGCCTACCGTCGCTTTTGCGAAGTTCCAGCCCCAGAAATTCCCCTGGGCTCCAACCAAATCAGGTGCGGGCGCATCCCATCATCCCAACCAATCTCGAGCTTGAATTTTCTTGGTCAAGACGGAAATGCCTTGGTTTTTCAACAAGGAGAGACTTCGCATTCCTTTCAGGCTGACGACACATATCGTAACATATTCATCACCGTAGTGTTCGGCTTCGCGTATTCTCATCTGAGCGTCGCTGCCGCTAGGGTGATAGTTTCTGTACTTCCGCTTCCGTCTCTCAGCTCGTTTGGCAGATTCCCCAGAGATGCGATGTTGTCCTCCCCATCCGTACGCCTTGTAACGCGTACGTAATCTGAGGCTTTTTTTTACGTGCTTGAGGCAAACATGCGTAAATTTCTCCCGTTTATTTCTCCCGTTTATTTCTCCCTTTATTTTCCTCGAACTCGCTCCTAGTCCCTCTCCATCCCCTCTCACCCCTCCCCATTCCTGACACCGCATTCAGCGGCTTGTCCCCCACCACGTCATCACCTGCCGCCCTGTCGAGCCGTGCGAATGTCCGATCCAGCATGGCAGCGCGTGGCCTCGCGGGCATGCGCGCATGGCTGGGCGCTGGTGGAGTCGGCGCGGGCAAGGGCGGGGGGGGCCCGGGCGCGAGAACCGCCGCGGAGAGGCGCACAGGGCGAACGGGGCGGAGCGAGACGGTGCTGGCGATGGCGGAAAGAAGCGGCGAATCCGCGCGGGATGGGGAGGGAGGTGAGGTGCATGGATGCAGCCCGTCAAAGTTTGTGAGGTCTTTTTGGGTCCATGAAAGGAGTGCCATGAAGGCTGGTCTTTTTGGGACTGCGTCCATGCATGTTCCTGCTTGTTCTCCTCTCATTCTCGCGTGCGCTCTTGCAGCCCTACCCAGTACCTTACCTTTCCATCCCTGCCCTTCCCCCTCCCTTCCCCCATGCCCACTTCACCCCTTCCCCCTCCCCCTCCCCCCTTTTACTTTCCCTCCCCCTCCCCCTCCTCTCCCCCACAACCGCCCACCCTCCCATCTCCATTCACCTCCAGACGTGCGCCGCTCGTCACATCATCCGCGGCCACCTTCCCCCTCCCCCCTCGTCTCCCCTCTCCCTCTAGCCTCCGCCAGTGCCCCATCTGGCGCTGATAGCGGGAGGGAAGAGGGAGGGAAGACGGGGGTCGGGGGCGGGATGTGGAGATGGAGAGGGGATGGCGCGGAAAAGGAGGAGGAGGGGAGCGGGAGGGGCTGATGGGCGAGATCGGGGATGGGGGATGGCAGCAGGGGAGGAAACAGGAATATGAGCGGCTGTTTTCAAACCTGAATGAAGTGAACATGAGGCATGAGCCAGGTGCGGGGAGTGCTTCCGCTCAGCGTCTCGAAATATACACCTGAGTGATTCTGCTTCTTCCATGCCCATGCCCATGCCCATGCCCATGCCCATGCCCATGCCAATGCCCATGCCCATGCCCATGCCCATGCCCATGCCCATGCCCATGCCCATGCCCATGCCAATGCCAATGCTCATGCCCATTCCGATGCCCACATGTCACACTCACCACTCTCCCATTGCCCCCACTTTCGCTTGCCCCCGCTCATGCCTACACACCACCACACGGCCCCCACGTGCACCTGTGCGTGGCAGGCAGTCTGGTTAGCTCCACT